TGCCTCCCCCCTCCCCCAACCTCCCACGTTGAACAGCTGCTACTCCTGGAACAGACTTTCTCCTTTGCGCCTCTCTGCCTCAGCACCTGCTTGTGTGCTCGCCTGCGTGGCCTGCCCTCCAGCCGGGTCTCCCCACACGCGTCTTCTCCAGCCACCGTTCTGGAGCCGTGCCCCGGCCGATGCTTGTGCCTCTGGCGCTGGTGCACTCCGCACACCCTTTCACCGGCCCGATTGTCCTGGGCGCTGTCACCCTGTCACACCTTCCCTTCAGTCACAACTGTGTGAACTCCCCATGTTCAGTGACTCTGACTTCCCTTCTTTGCGCCGCACACAAACCACGAGAAGCTCCCTCCTCACCTCACACTCCTTTTTCGCATTTTCTGCTGCCCTTCCCAGGCCCACTCCCTCACGGCCCCCTCTTGCCCTGACTTGGGCGACCCACCGGACTCGTGGAACCAGCGCCTCCATGCTGCCAAGCCCCGCAGATGCTTTATCGCCCTTCGGCTCCTTGGTCATGCTGCAGCATTTGAAAATACACATCCTCTTCTCGGAGCTTTCTGTGCCGTGGAGTTCTTGCCACCACGTCCAGAGCTTTCCCCTTACCTTGCTTAGTCTCTGTCTTTGACACCTTCCCTGCTCTGCTCTGCCGGGCACCATCCTTAGCTCTCTGCTTCTCTTCTCGTTCTTATACCCAAGGAGCTTCCCTCGTCCCTTGGCGTCCTCAAACTCCTAAATTCCAGGTATTCAACTTCGTGTCCATTTTTCTTACCTGGTTGCCCCACAGGCACCTTACATTCAGCGTGTCTAAAGTCGAGCTCAGGATCTTTCCTCCACACCTGGTCTTCCTGCTACATTTCTCACTTTGCTAAGTGACACTCGGTGGAATATACTCTTTCTTCCACAAAAGAATATTTTAATTATGATTTATGGAATGCCTGCCATGAGCTAATATTAACATGGCTGTTTATGACTCAACTCTGGGCTCAGACACGCGAAGAAACCTGTGATGTTGGCACAAACTGGGAAGGTCCGCCAGTAAAGCCCAACGTTTCACGTCTGCAGTATAGTGATCCAGCCCTCTGCATTCTTCTTGCGTTCTGCTGGGCTCTGTCTGGAATCCATCTCACCTTTTCCGTTCCTCCTGCCAGGCCCCGGTTCCAGGCCTCCGCATCTGTCTTCACTTAGATCGACCAGCACTTTCCAACCTGCCCTGTCTTTACCTCATTTCAGTCTACTTTCCTGACTGCTTGGATGGTAGTTTGCTAAGATGTGAATCTCATTATGCCTTACTTGAAAACCCTCCAAAGTCTCGCATAGCTTTCCAGATAAGTAGAGTTCAGACTCCTCTGCTTTGCTCACAAAGTTTGAGTGAGCTGGTACCCCCGCCCCCATCTTTCTAGGTCCATCCGCTGCCACCTTGTCTCCTCTACCCGCACATACCCATCCTTTTCTTCGGCCACCTGGAAACTCCTGAAGTTCTAGCAATAGATGGAATGGCTCCCATAGTTGCTTGCTGGCTTCTGTTCTCGCAGGCTTAGACCCAGCAGTGCCTCCTCCAGGAAGCCCACCACCACTGCCACTTCCTGCCATTGCCCTCTGAGCTCACTGACCCTCCTCTGTCCTCCCCAGCCTCTCCCACGACATCTATCCCACTCTTCTACAGAGGTTGTTTACAACTCTAAACGATAAGGCCCTTGAGGGCAGAGACCAAATCTCATTCAAATTTGTACGTGCTGTGAGTAACGCTCAGCAGCCTTCAAATAATGTTTACTGGATTAATTCACTAATTAATGGTGAGCCAATGAGTTTTCTTCTGGTGCTTAGCACAAATTATATGCTCAAAAAATAAATGTATCTGTTTTCCCCGGGGGCGGGGGGGGGGGATACAAATTATATGTTTCACATCAGCAAATAGTTTGATTCAAATAGTTAAATTAGGAACTTAACTGTGAAACATAATTGCTACTTATTTTTTGGTGGAAATTATGCTTTGGGATAAAACTGGCTTCCTCTTAAAAATTAACAGAAGTAAGTATATAAATACATAGAATATTTTTGAGTGTTATATGCTGGGTACTGTTGTTAGCACATTTCATGTCTAACTTATTTACTCTTTATCTCAGAGTGGTGGTATAATTCTCATTTTTCAGATGAGGAAACTAGCACAGAGAGGTTCAGGAACTTGCTCAGGGTCACAGAGCTAGTAGGTGCGACCCAGCCAGTATGACTTCTGAGCCTGTGTGCTTAACCACATTGCTTGGTGTGAACATCCGGCTTGCCCCAGCTACAGCTGGATTTTTCTGCCCCTTGAGATTTAGATAATATTTCCCTGAGAGTCTAAAGCTAAAGTCTAAAGTCTAAAGTTTATATACTAACAGATACCTCTCACTCTAAATGCCTGCTTTGACTGAGTTAATTCACTTTGAGAAATCTCTTGCTATCCCAAAGAGGAATTTACATGTTAGCAAGAAAAATGTCTTCACATTGAACATTAGCCCATTTGGATTAAAAGATCTTGGCCTTCTGTTACAGGGGAATTTTTTTATTTATAAAAAATATATAATTTTATTAAAAGTCTTATAAAATTTTATAGTTTTAAAAAAGTATTAAAATTTTATAAAAATATATAAAATTTTATAAAATGTTACATTTATATTACATATTAATAATACTATTAACAATATAATAAAATACCTTATATATATAAATTAAACATTTATGTTAAATATATTTGTGTATCTTTAAATATGTAAATTAAACTAATATGTATTTATGCTATATATTATATAAGGTATACAATATGTATTTAAATTTTATTTTGTAATTATATATTTTATTTACATCTGTTTATATTCCTAAACAATATGTAATTTAGTTTTATTTGTTTTTGAGTCATACAAAGTAGTGCTTTCTTCATACCATAGATCATCTTCTATGACTCACTGTTTTCAATGAACATTGAATTTCTAAGATTCATTCATGATAATGCTGTATCGTATTCCATTGGGCAAAAGTATTTTATTTTCCCTCTCTTTTATCAATGGACTGTAGGTCTGTTTTCACTGTTGCTGTGAACATTCATGTACATCTCTCCTGGGGCCTATGAGCAGTGGTATCAGTCTGGGGTATAGGCCCAAACGTGAGATTTGCTGAATATTGTGGTATGCAAATACGCCATGTTACCAGTGACCAGCTGTTTTCCAACTACGTAAATTTGCATTTCCACCACCAGCGTAATAGATTCCTTAATTTACATCCTCAAAAACTTGGAATCATCAGACTTCCTAGTCCCAGCCAGTCATATGGATATGAAATGGTGTCTTACTGGCGGACTTAATTTGCATCTTCCTCTTTCTAATAAGATTGAGAATGTTTTTATGTATTTATGCGCCCCTGGGGTTTCTTCTCCTGTATTGTCCCTATTCATGTCTTTTTGTTTCTTTTTGTTGATTTATATGTATCAAGATTACATAAAAGTTTTAAAACGATAGGTTTAACAGGCATACCTAGGTTTAACAGGCATACCGTGTGAAGTCTAACAGACAAACACCCAAGGACTCTCCATGATGCTCGAGACTAGAACACTTCCAGTATTATTACGATGTTACTGATTTGCAGGGTGTTTGTTGTTTGACAGTCTGATTATTATCCCCTTGCTGGTTAGTAATTGGGTTAGTCCTTGTTCTGCACAGCTTGTGGCTTGTCCTTTCACTTCCTTTCTAGACAGAACTAATTTTAATGTAAAAAAATGTTCGTGTTCTGTTTTCTCATTAGCTTGGCAAGTTTTGTGTATTTTCACACTTAACGGACATGTTCGTCAGTTTCTTTACTCCCCTTCTTTCATCTCAGATATTCCTCCCAAGCTCACTTCTCTTTCTCTTCAAGTTATTTTTTTAGAAGATCTTTAAGGGCAGCTCTGTTAATAGTGAGCTCCGTTTTTAGCTCATACTGTCTTTATGCCACGCTCATTCTTGAAAGATTGTTTGGCTAAGTGCAGAAATGTAAATGGCAAATTATTTGCTCAGCCATTCCATGGTCTTCTGCCTTCCTCGACCACTGTTAAGAAGTTTTGCCCGTGTAGCTTTCCCCCCTCTGGAGTGAATGTGTCTCACCTATTGCTGTTTTTCAGGTTTCTTCTCTTTCTTTGATGTATTGCTATTTTACTGTTGTGTGTCCAGATGCGAATTCCTTTTTATTTATTCAGTTTGGGTTACATTCAGTTTTTATCTGTGGACCCTTATCTTTGATCAGTTCTGAAAACCATTCTTGCCCGTGTCCTCCTTCCCATATTGCTTCTCGTCCGTTCTCCTCCATTCTCCTCTCCTCCATCAGGGCACTGATTGGACTTTGTGGGCCTTGCCTTCCCATCTTCCATGTCTCTTGTTCATCTTCTTGTCTCTCTGTGTGGTGGTCTGCGTCACTTCTTAAGCTTTCTCTTCCAGTGTTTTAGCTTTTTCGTTAGCTTTATAAAGATTCTGATTGTGTTGTGACCTGTGAGTAGGAGCGAATATTTGCTTACTCTTAATCTGAAAACACACACACACACACACAAGACCATGCATACAAATTGATGATGCTTTCTTTCAGAGAGGATTTACATTTGCTATTCTAGGGAAGCACAGGCTCCATACCAGATTGGAGCCATTTTCATCTCCACTTAATCTAGGAATCTTGGGTTCGGCTCTACGCACCCACCCCCAACTACCAGTTACATTTCCCGCAAAAGCCACCCTGCCTTTTGAGTAGTCTTACCACTCTTTGCTCTCTTTTTAGGTTCTCTTCCTCACACACACACCTTCATATCCTAGTTTGCATTAATTGCTACAACTCCAACAATGCAACAAAGAATATGTTTTATGAAGGAGATTTAGTCGTAGGGATGCCTGGGTGGCTCACTTGGTTGAATGTCTGACTCTTGATTTCAGCTCAGGTCTTGATTTCAGGGTCATGAGTTCCCATGGAGTTCCCTACGTGCCCAGCATTGCGCTCCACGCTGGGCATGGAGCCTACTTAAGAAAAAAAACAAAAACAAAAACTAGTCGTTCCACTGCAAGGGTACCTTGCAGAGGCTGTGGTCTGCAATAGAGCCCGAAGTAGAAATATCTGTAGGAGATTTTTTTTCTTATTGGCCATCTTTATGACCTCTTGCTGGCTCCTCTCTCCTTCCCCCTCTTCCAACTCTCCTTTTTCTTCTTCCCAGATCTCCTCCACACCCTCTTAATTTCCAGACTTCTCTGCACCCCTCTGTGAAGTCTTTTCACTCCTGTGCAGAGCAGGTCAGCTCTCCCAGCCTCCATGTGCACCTCTGGGCTTAACTTGGGCAGGTCGGAACAGATCCGGCTCGTTCTGTCACAGCATCCGCCCACCTTAGAAGGCAGTGCACTTGTAAACAGCAGTTTTTCCTCCGCTCTGTAATTGCATTCACTGAGTACATACAGGGTGCCTGTCAGGGCGCTGGTGCTGTCGGGAGTGCCATGGAGGGGTTATTGTTCGATATGAGTTCATGTCATTAGTCATGTGTTTTCTTTGAGGTGTATTGTGTAGCAGCAGCACTGTGTTAAAAGCTGTTATTAAGCAAGATGTAATACGCTCAGAAGCATTAGAATTATCAGTGTGTTTAAAGAAATACGGAAAGGAGTGGGCTAAGTAATTGAATTTGTTCATGTTTTATTTTTTTAAAAGATTTATTTATTTGAGAGAGAGAGCACAAGCTGGGGGAGGATCAGGGGGAGAGGGAGAAGCAGGCTTCCTGCCGAGCAGAGAACCCAACACAGGGCTTGAGAATCATGACCTGAGCCGAAGGCAGATGCTTAACCGACTGAGCCACCCAGGTGCCCCTAGACTAAACCTCTTCTTGTCAATACTTCTATTTTTCAGGTATCCGAGATGTTTCTAAATGGAGTGAGAAAATAAGAAAACCTCTTGAAACCTTATATGGCTATGACTACTTTGCCAAAACCTGTGAGAAGTGGGTGGATGGCATAAAACAATTTAAACATCTTCCAGACGGTAGGTTATGTGAACTGTTTAGCTGTTCCTTTGCTGATGAGAGAGGCTGCTTGCGTTCTTCCCCTGGTGTTCCAGAATTCCCTGGTGATGAAAGCACTCACCCACTGTCCTTTCACACTAATGCGTGAACAGAGGACGCTAGTGATTGTATACCATACACGCTCTTGCATAATAAATCCGCCTTAAGCGATGCTATATGTATACACCTACTCTATGTATCAGGGTTCACAGTGTGAAGTCTTTAATAGACTGTTCCTTTTTCCTTCTAATCCTTTGTGTGTACGATGACAAAATAATTCTCCAGAAGCCTCCAATAGTGTTTGTTTTTCTCTAATTCTGGAGTGGGTAATCAGAAAACAAACAAGCTGTCGTGCGTACCATATTTTTTTCTTTTTCACATTTAGATGCATGACCCTGCTATATCCTCTCTTACCAGGATAAAAAAGAAGGGCCTTTGTGTCATGACCTTCAGCTCCAGCAGAATTAGCCTGAGGAAGAGCGTTCAATTTATTTCCCACCTTCAGAACTTAGTTATGTGGCTCTAATTCCCTGTCTTTATCAGAAAAATTAACAAGATTTCCACTAACAGGAAGAACTGACATCTTTAAGAGAAATTCTGAATTAAAGGCTGTTTTTCAGTAGCCATTTACATGGCTCATCTCTCACTCTACTATTTTAACCGCTAAAAGAATAGAGGGTAGCTGAGATCAAATCTGGGAGCACATTTGTGACAAAATGGCTGCAGCTGAAGGAGCAGTTTGATCTATTAGGTAATCATTTCCAGAGTGAGTCACCTGTCAAAACTTTCACACTGAAAAGGACATGTGGAACTATTACTTTTCTGGTTCAAGTTCAGAACAGCAAATATATCCTCATCCAGTGCAGTACCCACCCAGAGAAATAGATCTTTGAAAATGTGTCTCCCTCAGCTCTTAAAACAAAAATGCCATAAAGATGTCTAAGTTCTCCATTAAAGAAGGCACATTCTTGAAACGTAAATTTTTGTGCTTTCCTGACTAGAGAGCGGGGTAGGAAGATTCAGAGGCAGAAGCAGAATTAAATCAGCAGCTCAAACATATGTCCTGTATCTGTTAAAATCTAAAGCTTCCATTCTGTGAAAGACCCTGTCAAGAGTATGGAAAGACAAGCCCCACAGACTGGGAGAAAATATTTGCAAAAGGCATATCTGATAAAGCACTGTTATCCAAATGTGCAACAGACTCTTAAACCTGAACAATAAGAAGAAAACCTGATTAAAAGATGAGCCAAATAACAAGATCCCAATACTTACCTGTTAGAATGTCCCAAACAGGATTTTTAGGGCCATGAAAATACTCTGTAATCCCATAATGATGGCTACATGTCATTACACACTTGCCCAAACCCACAGAATATGCAACAACCAGGAGTGAACCCTGATGTAATTTCTGGACTCTGGGTGATGATGACATATGTGTCCATGTAGGTTCATCAATTGTAAAAATGTCCTACTTGGGTGGGAGATATTGATAGTGGGGGAGGCTGTGCATGTGGGGGGCTGGGGTACAGAGGAAATCCCTGAACCCTCCACTCAATTTTGCTGTAAACCTAAAATTAAAAAAATCAAATACAGTTACTAAAAAAAAAGAAAGGGAGGGGGAAAATGTCAAAATGTAGAGGAACTATAGCAGTGATCTTACAGCAAGACTGTTAATAAACTACTTATCTCCCCTTCACACTCATTAATTTCACAGGACCCCTTTTTGTCGTAATTGTACACTGTGCACGTTGGTAGATGCTCGGTTTAGGATAGGGGTTAACTGCGCAGATTTGGAGTCAGACAGGCCTGGGTGTGAAGTCTGGCCTTGCCACTTGGTTGCTGTCAAAATGATGGGCTGACTACTCAGCTTCTCTAAGCTGTCGTTCCCCATCTGTGAACCGAAGCAGCTAATAACGACCCCGTAAGGTGTTTTGAGGACTAACCAGGGTTCTGCACGTTCAGCTGTGGTGCAGTACCAAGTACACAGTAAGCGCTTGATTAAAGGTTATTAGGACTCTCTTTAGAAAGGTACTGGATCTACCAATGATTGTACAGACCAAGTGAGCTACAGCAGGTAAGGCATTGTGTCATGGGCATGAACCCATGCAAATAGTGTCTGACCCATAGTGCTCGGGATGACTGCTTCGTCCTCTGATTCCGCAGTTAACAAGTGTGTGTCATCCCAGGGACAGGAGATGGCAGCTTCTGAGACCTAGAGAAGTATTTCTCTGGCCAACCCATCCCCTTCTCATTTAGCAGACAGTGCCCCCCACCCCGGCCCCTGAGGAGGAGGGATAGGCCAGGTGCCTGGGCAGCACCCCAGTGGGCTGGCTCCCAGCTTTCTCAGGGCCCCAGTGACCCCCACAGAGGCCGGGAGGAGGCAGAGGAAGAAGGAGCTCACTTTATGGAGTACCTGCCCACTGCCCAGAACTGTAGACAAGACACCTCTTTTTGGCCTCACGGCCACCCCAGAGAACTGGAACTATCCCCTGTTTGACCAGGGAGGAGGCTGAAACTCCTCACTGTGGAACCACCAAGAGTTCCCAGGCAGGAGACGGTAGGGCAGGACCAGAGCCAGGTTGTTCCTCGTCTGCCTCAGGAAGGTTGTTACGACGGAGGTGAGGCCCTTATCATCTCCAGAGTATGGCAGACAGGAATGTCATGGAGGCAGGAGGAATGAAGAGCAGCTCATTTGCCATGTGTAAGTTTTAACTTCACAGGAGGTATAGAACCTCTGAGGGTAGCTGGGGCCCGGGGGGACCACTTAAGACATTATTTCAAGGGAAAAGCTTTTCAGATGCCAAGGTTCTACCAGCGTTTTGCAAACTGTGGACTGCTCTCCATAATATAAAGAGCTGTGGGGTTTTTGGTGTGTTTATTTTCCTGTTTTGCATCAGTTACGCATATAATCAGGCAAAACTGCTTGTTTACTAGAACTTACCAAGAAGAAAAAAAAAAAGCAGAGAACCGGAAAAGGAGGCCCACAGGTTGTGAGAGCTAGGAGACCCCTCGGGCCCCGGCTAATGCAGACCACCTCTTTTAGGGACGGGGACACCGATCCTGAGGGAGGCAGGACGGACCCCAGCCCCCTGCTTCTCCTGACTCCCCTGGCGCACTGGTCACATGGAGGCAGATCCTCGGTGCTGTTTGTCTTGCAGGGAATATCTGTGGGCACTTGCTGCCGCTTGTTCAGTGCCCCACCTTAATCGTGCACGGAGAGAAGGATCCGCTGGTCCCACGGTCCCACGCCGACTTCATACACAAACACGTGAGAGGGTCGCAGTAAGTGCCATCTCTGCCCCCGCGCTCTGCCTCACAGCCTCAGGACGTGCGTGCGTGGAAGGAGCTAGGGAAGGAAAAGAAACATTGCGGTGGGGATTTTTTTTCAGAAGATCTTATTTATTTATTTATTTATTAGAGACAGAGAGGGAGGCAGAGGGAGGAGCAGGCGCTCCACAGAGCAGGGAGCCTGATGCGGGACTCGATCCCAGAGCCCTGAGACCATGACCTGAGCCGAAGGCAGACGCTTAATGACTGAGCCACCCAGGCACCCCTGGGGTTCGGAGTTTTTAAGGTGTCCCCCTCCCTTCCCAGTTTGCCAGTAAAGAAGGAAAGGATTTCTTAGATGGATGTCTTATGGCAAATGTGCTAATAGGTACCAAGTTCTGTAACACTGCAGACAGTTTAGATTTGTAGCCATCAGTGTTAACTAAAACAGTTTTATATAATTTGGAAATTTTCAGATGTGTTTATCATTATAAAAGTACTGTCTACCCAGGAAAGAAAATTTCTAAAATCAAAAGAAGAAAACCAGTTGCCTGCCGCTTGCCACCCATTTAAGCACTTCTGCTATTAGCATTTTTTTAAAGATTTTATTTATTTATTTGAGAGAGAGCACGGAGAAGGAGAGTGGAAGAAGAGAGCACATGGCGGTGGGGGCGGGGTGCAGAGTGAGAAGCAGACTCCCGCCGAGCAGAGAGCCTGGGATCAGGACCTGAGCAAAAGTCAGACCCTTAACCGACTGAGCCACTCAGGCGCCCCCTGCTATTAGCAATTTTAATATGTTTCTCCTTTCTAGTATTTTGTAAACGTAAATATAATTATATTCTGTATTCAACTCTGAATCCTGCTTTTTTTCCACTTAAAATTATGTTAACTTCTCATGTTATTTCAGCCTTAAATATGTACACATCAGATGGGAAGCCTGTTATTCAGAATCACAAAATATCAACATATACCAAGCCATGTTGGTGGCTCACTCGATTAAACAGCAGATACATGTTACTTGTTCTTTGCATTCTTGTTTCTGCCAAGCAGCCTTGGACATCGAAGAAGCTTATTGTACATGTCAGCAGAAATTCTGTTCTTTAAGCCCATGCATTTTTGTATGGAATAGAAATTTTTCTTTTAAATACTTTGGCTAACGCAGGAGCCAGCTTTCCCTGGTACTTATATCAAGATGAAAATTTAAAGTTGAATAAATTTAGCATTTTCTTTCCCTGAAATGGATGCATACCCTGAAGGAGAAAGTGAGGTATGCCTAGGGGGTAGTGACCTGATTTTTTTTTTTTTTTTTTTAACAAACATACCAGAGGATAAATATCCAAGTGAGCCTTGACCCCTTCAGACTATATATTAATTCCAGAGATGCTGTCATTATTCCATCTTTGGAATTCTAAGGAATTCTTTTGAAATTGGCTTTATTAGTGACTTAAGAAAATCCTCCCTCCCTTCCTCCTCTCCTCTTTCCCTTCTTCTCTGCCTCCCTCCTTTTCTCCTTTCCCTCCAGGAGCTGATTTCTGATGCCTCATGGGCTTGCACTGCCTGGCGTGGTTAGTGCTGGTCCCTGTCCTGAGAGCTCACACAATCCAGCAGGGAACCCAGACTCAGAGACAGTTCCACTACTGTTTTTTTAAATTCCGGTGTAGTTAACATACAGCATTATATTAGTTTCAGGGATACAATAGAGTGACTCAACAATTTTTTTTTTTTTTAGATTTTATTTATTTGACAGAGAGAGACACAGCGAGAGAGGGAACACAAGCAGGGGGAGTGGGAGAGGGAGAAGCAGGCTTCCCGTGGAGCAGGGAGCCCGATGCGGGGCTCGATCCCAGGACCCTGGGATCCTGACCTGAGCCGAAGGCAGACGCTTAACCGACTGAGCCACCCAGGCGCCCTTTCTTGTGTTGAATCTGATACGTTACTCAGTGCTCATCATGATAAGTGTTCTCTTAATCCCCATCACCTGTTCCCCCCATCTCCCCTCTACTAACCATCCGTTTGTTCTCTAGAGTTAAGAGTCTGTTTCTTGGTTTGCCTTTTTTTGTTTGTTTGTTTTCCTTTACTTGTTTGTTTCTTAAATTCCACCCCTGGGTGAAATCATGTGGTATTTGTCTTTCTCTGACGTATTTCCCTTAGCATTATACTCTCTAGCTCCATCCGTGTTGTTACAAATGGCAGGATTTCATCCTTTTTTATGGCTGAGTAATATTCCTATGTGTATATATACTACCTCTTCTTTATCCATTCATCTGTCAACGGACACTTGGGCTGTTACCATAATTTGACTATTGTAAATAATGCTCCTATAAACATAGGGGTGCGCGTATCCCTTTGAATTAGTGTTTTTGTATTCTTTGGGGTAAATACGCAGTAGTGCAATTACCAAATTTTAGGGTAGTTCCATTTTTAACTTTCTGAGCAACTCCATACTGTTTCCCAGAGTGGCTGCACCAGTTTGCATTCCCACCAACCGTGTAAGAGGGTTTCCCTTTCTCTGTCCTTTCCAATTCTTGTCTTGTGTTTTTGATTTTAGCCCTTCTGACAGGTATGAAGTGATATCTCCTTGTAGTTCCGACTTGCATTTCCCTGATGATGAGTGATGTTGAGCATCTTTTCATGTGTCTGTTGGCCATCTGGATGTCTTCTGTGGAGAAATATCTATTCAGATCTTCTTTTTTTAATTGGATTATTTGTTTTTTTGGATGCTGAGTTCATAAGTCCTTTACATGTTCTGGATACTAGCCCTTTATCAGATATGTCATTTGCAAATATCTTCTCTTATTCAATAGATTGTCTTTAGTTTTATTGATTATTTCCTTTGCTGTGCAGAAGCTTCTTATTTTGATGAAGTCCCGATAGCTTATTTTTGCTTTTGTTTCCCTTGCCTCAGGAGACATATCTAGAAAAAAGTTGCTACGTCCAATGTTAGAGAAGTTACTGCCTGTGTTCTCTTCTAGGAGTTTTATGGTTTCAGGCCTCACATTAAGAAATGGTTCTTAATCCATTTTGAGTTTATCTTTGTCTATGGTGTAAGCTATCCGCTACTTTTTTCTTTTTTAAGATCTTATTTATTAGAGAGAGAGTGTAGAGCGGGAGAGAGGGAGCATATAAGCGGGGGTGGGGGGTCAGAGCAGAGGGAGAGGGAGAAGCAGGCTGAAGCAGGCTCCCCCGAGCAGGGAGCCCAATGTGGGTCTCAGTCCCAGGACCCCGGGATCATGACCTGAGCCACAGGTAGATGCTTAACTGACTGAGCCACCCAGGGGCCCCTGCACTACTTTTTTTTTTTTTTTCTTTTTAAGATTTTATTTATTCACTTGAGAGCGAGAGAGAGGGAGAGAGGGAGAGCCCAAGAGGCGGTAGGGTCAGAGGGAGAAGCAGACTCCCCGCTGAGCAGGGAGCCCGATGTGGGACTCGATCCCGGGACTCCAGGATCATGACCTGAGCCGAAGGCGGTCACCTAACCAACTGAGCCACCCAGGCGCCCCCCTGCACTACTTCTTCATCATATTATTCCATGATAAATTTCAACAAACAAAAGGAGAATTTTTAAATGTGGGGGACATGCTTCTTATTCTACAATAAAATATAATTATTATCAGCCTGTATAATTTTTATATCCCATATAGCATTTTATATTTTAAAAGGCATTTTACATATAATATCTAACTACACTTCATAACAAACTTATGAAAAAAATATTGTCCCCATGTATAGATGAGAAAATCAAGGTTGAGAGTTCTTAAGTAATCTTCCAAGATTGCAGAGCTAGTACATGAAAAATCCTGGATATTTTTCCCTCCTAATATAGCACTTTTCCCCCACAGCACAGCTGCCTCTCATAAACATACTCTTATTTTAATATGATGGTAAGATGCCTGGATTATATGCTTGCCGACCTGGTTAATTGTCTTCTAGCTTCAGAAATGACAGGTTTTTGCACACTGATGCTCATGATAAATGCAGTGTGTTCTCTTAGAGAGCCAGGTTCAATACAAGTCAGTCTGCAAGGATGTTTAATTTAGGAATTCTGTTCCAAACCCATCTCCTAGCAACGGAATACATCACTATGGGAAAAAAAAATAGTCCCTTCCTGTTCAGATGTTAATTATTTCAGGAGACTATTTTATGGAAGATCATTTTCTTAGAGCAGTGTTCTTTGGAACAAATGAGTGGAAGGCCAAGTATTCTTGGCAATGATTGTCTTAAACTGGCTTGCATTTTACACCTGCATTGCTGTGCTATAAGAGCCCTTTGTGTTTGGCCTGAACCCACCTAGAACCCAGGTGGTTTACTTCGGACCCCAGAAAAGGAAGGTGGATTCCTTGAGCACCAAAGTCCTACTGAGATTCAGCGCTGCAGGCTATGTGACAACAGGAAAGCAAGGTAGAGTGGCAAGTTTCCAATGAACTTGGTATTTCATTACCTTGCCAGGTACATTTATAATTAAACTTAAGGATACAGTCTATCCCTTCAGAGATTATACCAACAAATAGATAATCACATATGAGACAAATGCCTTTCTCTCCTCCAAAGGAGGCCAAATGAAGGGTGGAGTTGTTCAGGCCTGCTGAACAGGCCTGTGTTAATTTGTCTCTCTTTTTTCTCTTTGTGAGGAACAATGGTAGTCTCTTGGAAGTGAAGAGGCCTTAAGGATCATTCAAGTTCAGTGGTTTTTAAAACTTGTTTTTAGGCAGCTGAACGCTTCCGCCTAACAAACTGTGATGCAAAAACCCAAGACATAACACATAAAATAAGAGCTCCTCTGATTAGAGTGGGGGTGGGGGCACCCCTGCCCCTTCAATTCTCCTTGTCCTGCCCCAGCCCCTGTGCATTCCCTGCTCATCCAGCCCTAACCCCTAGACTGCAAAGCCCTGACCGCTCACCCCTTGGCTAGCTGGCTGCTTCTTGGGCATCCCCGCAAGGCCAGCCCCAGCTCGCTTTCAGAGGATTTGCGCTGATCAGAGGCCAGCACCCATGAGACCCTTTGGGGTTGCTGTGGG